GCCAAGGGACGCAGCCATACGTCCAACGAGTTCAGTAGGAGGAGCTCGGTGAAAGGTGATGTGGGAGAGAACGCAGCTCTTAAGGCAGTGTTGGCCGACCTTGCTGAGATAAAAGTTCAACTCGCCAATGCCAAACAAGTAGCTGCTGTGTAGGATCCCAATTTAGCACAAGTTCAACCGGGTATGTACATGGTTGATCAAGAAGCGGAAGAAGCCAACTATGTCGGCCCAAATCAATATACTCATCCATCCGACCTATACAACCCGGGATTGAGAAATCATCCCAATTTCTCCTACAAGAACATGTCGATGCGCTAAATCCTCAACCCACTTTCCAACGGAACAACAAAGGACCTCCGGGTTTTCAACCGAAGTATCAACAACAAGGTCAAGGGAGCCAAGGTTATCAAGGGAATTCAAATTATAGGCCACAACAAGTGCAACCTAAGGAGCAAGACCCGGACATCAAGGACATGCTATTCCAAATCCTCCAAGGTCAAAAATCACAAGGAGTATCTATTGGGAGCATTGAAAATGAGCAAGTTGCATTCAAGAAGCAATTGGAGGGAGTACAAACTCACTTGAAGATCTTGGACAATCAAGTGGCTCAACTTGCATCTTCTTCCTCATCAAGACAGCAAGGCATGCTTCCCGTTAAGAACGAGGTGAACCCTCGTAAGCACATCAATGCAGTCGAGCTAAGGAGTGGGAAACAACTTCCGGAGATCATCCCTCCGATGGTTGAGAAGACAACGCCTCCAAGGTTAACAAGAGAGGAAAAAGGAAAATTTGTAGAGGAAGACAACCCTAAGGTGCAGGAACAGGAGAAAGAACCGTCCTACATTCCGCCCCCGCCTAAGGTACCCCCCATACCCTTTCCTTCTCGCTTAAAGAAATTTAATGAGGACAACCAATTTGGAAAGTGTGCGGAAATGCTGAAGAAGATGGAGATTACAATGCCTTTTCATGAGGCAATCCTTCAAATGCCCTCATAGGCGAAGTTCCTCAAAGATATTTTGACGAAGAAGCGGGTAGTGGAAAAAGAGACTGTGGCATTGAGCACCGAAATTAGCGCAGCCATCACAAAGCATGAACTCCCCTCGAAGATGTCCGATCTGGGGAGCTTCTCTATACCGTGCAAGTTGGGAAACATTGAGATTGATAGGGCGTTATGTGATCTTGGAGCTAGTGTGAGTTTGATGTCGTTGTCCATTTACAAGAAGCTGAACATAGGCGACCTGAAGCCCACGAGGATGGCCTTGCAACTAGCGGACCGATCTATCAAATATCCAGCAGGCATTCTAGAGGACGTACCCCTCAAGATTGGCGGATTCTATGTACCAGTGGATTTTGTAGTGCTAGACATGGATGAAGACTCCAAAGTTCCAATCATTTTGGGTCGTCCATTCTTGAGCACAGCGGATGCCTGCTAGACATGGATGAAGACTCCAAAGTTCCAATCATTTTGGGTCGCCCATTCTTGAGCACAGCGGATGCCGTAGTTCATGTCCGAGCCGGAAGATTAACGATGAAGATCGGGGATGAGACAGTCGAATTCATGCTTGATCAGAATTTGAAGCAACCTTCGACCAATGATACGGTATGCTATGCGGATATACTTGAAGCAATGGCGGAAGAAGTAATCGGAGAGTTCCGTGAGGTAGACCTGCTAGAAATGTCACTAATGGCCGTAGAAGCGAGTCTATACAGCAATTGGGAGGAGATTGAGGAGATAAGACGAGCGTTAGACGGCCAAGAAGACGAAAACGGAATTTCAGCGAAAACGGGCGACCCACCCGAAAAATGGGCGACCCGCCCACTTTCAATAGCTGAAGAAGTGCAGAAAAAATTGAGCGACCCGCCCGAATAATGGACGACCAGCTCATTTTGTCTAAGCAGCGACACTGTTCACGCGAGCGACTGGGACCGAAAACGGACGATCCAGTGTAAAAAACGGGCGACCCGCCTGAATTGTCTGAGCAAAAGCGATCCGGACACTGTAGAAGCGAGCGACCGCCCGTCAAAATGGGCGACCCGCCCGTTTTGTCTGAGCATAAATACTGCAGAAGTGGGCGACCCGCCCGAAAAATGGGCGACCCGCCCGTGTTCACCTGGAAACGCAGATTTGGACCTCGGACGCATCCTGTCGACCTCCCACACCGTTCTTGACCCACCTCAAGGTTCAAAAGAGAAATCACACGATGATTGGGACCCCGAACGTGCTCCACAAGTGGAATTAAAGCCCTTACCCCAAGGGCTTAGGTATGTCTTCCTTGGCTCAAATTCTACAGGATCAAGTAGAAAAGTTCACCAAATTGCTTAGGCAATATAGGGAAGTCCTAGGTTACACTCTAGAAGACATTAAGGGTCTTAGCCCCTCTCTTTGCATGCATCGCATACATTTAGAGGATGATACCAAATCGTCAATTGAACATCAACGTAGGCTAAACCCGAACATGAAAGAAGTGGTCAAGAAAGAGGTCTTGAAATTGTTAGATGCGGGTATCATTTACCC